AAAAATAAAAAAACAACCTTTAGTTCCTGTTCCACCAATATAAGAATGTACCCCCTGGCCCCTTTCCCTTGGAAAATGGTCAGTGGCCACTTTTACTCTGTGACAATGAATGTTTACTCAGTCTAGAACATCTCTGGCCCTCAATATATTTCATTTGCTTTTACTTAAAAAAATAATCCTTGATGTTGCTCCACAATACCAATGTTCTCCATAATTTGTAATAATGACCAATACAATCAATAAAATATATTTACTGATATTCTTTGCTTTCCGTCAAGATTCATCTGACATCAATAATGATGTCTCCTCATTTCAAGTCCTCTTCTCAGCTTAGCTTGAATTTTTACTACCACAACCATTTTTAAATTATCTTCTGCAAAATTTTACTTGTATGTCATATTAAGATATTGTTCTAGAATTTCTGCATCCCTTGGACTTTCTTTGCCAGCCAGAAATATGGCTTTTTACAAGTCTGTTGGCTAGCAGTTGTTTTATAAATTTCTTGGCATAGATAAGTAAGAAGAAATCAGGTAAAATGTACAGGAGCTCTCTATATATTATTTCTTACAACTCTGTGTGAATTTATCACTGTCTCAATAAGATCATCAGTTAAAGAACTAATGTAATAATTATCTCTAACATTCATTAGAATTCACACCACTTAATTTTTGTATTACCTTAAAAAAAAGTAAATTCCAGATATAAAGTAAAATTCCTCTTATTCTAGAATCATTTGTAATAAATATAATGATCCATTTATATTTATTTCTTTGTAAAGGTAATAAATTCACATGACATAAAACTCCAAAGACATTTCGTGAACAGTCACTCTCCTTTCCTGGGCTCATTTCACTCCTGAGAGGCCTCCATTGTGATGAGTCACCTTCCAAGTTTCCTTCCTGAGCACATCTGCGCACACCACAGAAGGGTGCCCTCCTTTAAGGCAGATCACTACACTGACATTTTCACTTTGTGAGCAATGTTTTCAAATACTTTCTTCAACAGATATAAGGAAATGTTAGATTTTCCCTTACTTTAAATATATAACCATTTGTCATTAAACTATAATTGTAAAGTCCAGGGTACAGAATGATATTTAAGTGAAAACTAAGCCTTCCTTCTGCCCCCTCTTGAGAAATTATAATTCTTCTCTAAATAGTGACAAGTTTTATAATTTAATATTCCTACAGAATTTTTTGTTTTTGTTTCTCCAGCATGTTGGAAACTTTTGCCATTTTAGTCTTAATATTCTGGATATTTTCATGCATTTCTGTTATTTTCAGTACTACATTGACTGTACCTTCTCTGTCTTCTGATGATTTT